TCTCGTCCTTTTAGATCTGAGCTCTGCCTTTGACACCATTTCTCACTCTGTCCTTCTAAGCAGACTTTCTTCTCTCGGCATCTCTGACACACCCCTCGCCTGGTTTCAATCATATCTCCTCGACCGTTCCCAGTTTATTCAACTAAGATCATTCCGCTCTCGCCTATTCCCCGTCACCTCTGGTGTACCCCAAGGCTCAGTTTTAGGCCCTCTTCTCTTTATAATATACATCCTCCCTCTAGGTACCATCTTCCGCAAATTTGATCTTCAGTTTCACTGTTTTGCTGATGACACCCAGTTATATCTCTCTTGCAAACCTGATTCCTCCCTCCCACCTTCTTCCCTTACAGAATGTCTATCCGAGTTAAAATCCTGGTTTACCTCTAATTTTCTAAAGCTCAATGAGGATAAAACTGAGATCCTCCTTATTGGCACCAAATCCAACCTTTTGAAGGCAAACCATTTCTCACTTACCATCGATAACTCCACAGTTTTCCCTTCTCCTCAGGTTAAGAGCCTTGGTGTCATCCTAGACAGTACACTTTCTTATAAATCACACATCAATAACCTCACCCGTTCTGCCTACTTCCATCTACGTAACATTAACAGATTGCTTCCTTCTCTTTCCACCCAGTCTACGTCCATTCTTGTACATAGTCTTGTTACCTCCCGTATTGACTACTGCAATTCTCTTCTGCATGGTCTCCCCCAAAAATCCCTCCATAAGCTTCAACTGGTTCAGAACTCTGCTGCTCGCATTATCACCAGAACCCCCTCCTACCAGCACATCACCCCTGTTCTTCAGGAACTTCACTGGCTCCCTGTGAAATTCCGGATAATTTTCCAAGTTCTTCTGCTCACCTTCAAGGCCATTCATAACCTCGCTCCTTCTTACCTTTCTGACCTGTTAACCACCACTTGTTCTGCCCGTTCACTTTGTTCTTCTTCTTCTGTCCAGCTTACTGTACCTTCCTTCCGCCTCACCACCATGGGAAGCAGAGCTTTCAGCTGCTCTGCTCCAGGCTGTGGAACTCTCTGCCCCCTGAAATAAGAAATATTGGTTCTCTCCCCCAGTTTAAATCCCAACTCAAAACTCATCTGTTCAAATCTGCATATTCACTGTGAATCCACTGTTTGTTCATTTTATCTTGTGCTTTATTTTATTGTTCTTATTCTGCCATTGTTTTTACTAAGTGTTTTATCCTATTGTAAAGTGTCCTTGGGTGACTTGAAAGGCGCTCATAAATAAAATTTATTATTATTATTATTATTAGATACATAATTCCTTCTGAGGGGATACCCATAAGATTGGACACACTGTAACCCAATACATGTCAGAACAGTCCAGACAAAAGCAGGTAAATTAACCACAGCACTGTAATAGCCTACATCAGATGCCAACTGTTCCTTTAGAGGAGGTTGGCATTAAATATCAGATTTAGGCTTATTTTTAAGCGGGCCTTTTGTTCCCACCATTTTTATACAGTAATTCTTTCTTTTTTCTTTTTCTTTTTCTTCTTTTGCAATGCCTACACTTCCATACATTTAAAAAAAAATCTGTCAAGAAAAGAAGCAATGCAAACAGCATACCTGTTCCTGTAGGAAAAATTTGATCCTCGGAGCATGTGAAGTATCTCAGTATTTTTCAAGCACGCTGAATACCACACTGGAAAAACCCTGTCGAGGGATTTAGTGTAGTCAGGAAAGTTTGGCCACTCCGCAAACCAGTATATCAGTATACTGGGATGAAGGAGAGTAGTTCAAGAAGCTTTTGGCTCGTGTTTACCACCAGATATTAGTTTTGCCTGAATATACTGAATTTAATTGAGGCCATAAATAATCCCCTTCGGGTTGTGTCCTGAAGGAAATCCGGTAATTAAACTCTGCCAAATCAAACATGCAGCGCTTCATCCTGTGGTGATCACTTGTGATCTCTGTTTTCTACTGCTTAGCCAATTCAGGCTTTCCAGGTATCTGGTATCTGGGAGCCTATCCCAGATACCAAAGGGCAAGAGGTGGGGTACACACTGGACAGGTCACCAGTCTGTCACTGGGCTAACATAGAGACTGACAGTCATACACACCTACATCCAATTTAGCATAACCAGTAAATGCAGTTAGTGAGGTTAGGCTGGGTGATTCTAATTGGATGGGAGCATATGCTGTTCTAAAACCTGTATATACCTTTCAGCAGTGATAGCGCCTTTCCAGATGTGCAAGCTGCCAATTCCTGAGGCACTGATGAATATTTTTCCAGAGTCTCAGAATCTTTTGATAATATCATGTAGATGATGACATATTCAGTCTTCAGATTGCTAATTTGCAGATTAGTGAAACTCTGCCAATTATTAATCAAAGCATTTAATATGTTTTATATGTGCTATTGTGAATAAAATATGGATTAATGTATTTACTATTTTTATTTGTATTTGAAATTAGGATTGTAGCTGTATGACTCAATAAACTCAATAAAACGTAATGCAATCAAAAAGCAGTATTAAAGTACTAAATAATGATAAATAGCCCACTACAGAATAGTGACGTGTGGTAAATCGAATAATAGTGCTGATAGACATATAGACATACATATTAAGTGAGCAATCCAGCTCAACTTTTGGGTATTACATCGCAGGCAAGTTTATGACACTTTTCCATTGGCTCCATTTTTCAGACCAGGAGGCTACATTCATTCTTTCATACAGTCTATGGTTCATCAACTAAAACACCCCCTTTAAATTAAGTTTACAATTTAAGCTAATCTGCTGAACACAAATGTTGGTATTATCACAGAATGCATCTCTCTGTAAGAAACAATGTGCAATGTTTATTCGCCTCTGACATGATACAAAATGTTTAATATCATTATATTATGAAGTTTAAATTGATTTGATCATTTAATAAAATAATATAAGAAGGAAATAAGTTTTAGTGCATATGTGAAGCTCATTTTTATGAACAACAGCCCTGCTCCTTTGCTTCATCATATACCTGCATCATTACCTTCCTGGTCTACTGTTTTGATGTGTGAATTTAAAATACATGGGAACAGATGAGGGAAGCTTCTATTTTTTTAGATTCCCCCCCTTGTTTTCCATCTAATTTACATTTCATAGAGGAAGGCTATCAGAAAAAAGTCTTTCTCTGCCTGCTTAGCATTTGAATCACACAGCAGTGCTTAGCAGCTTTAAATCCTGCGCTGACCTTTGCCCCTTTCTGCTTTAACTTCCCACCTTTCTTCTCTAGTTGATGATTTCTTTCACTTTTTGAAAAAAACAAAACAGGGTCAGCAAAGAAAACTGAAAACTGGTAATTACAAGTATAAAGTTAATTTTGCGAATGTGATGGCATTTTACACAGAGAAGCCAAAAAAAGGTAAACAGTCATCCTGGCACATACCAGCTTTTCACTTTTGACACTCTTTCATTTGACACCAAATCTGACTCTCCTCACTTAGACAGCAACATAAGCCTGTTTTTATTTAATGTACCCGGTGTTATTTTTCTTTTCTGACCTGTCATCATCAGTATATCCTACAGTTTCTAACTAATATAATTGAGGACTCCCTCTACCTGGACTTCTGGTTTTATACAGAATAACAAAACTAGCCACTTGATTGCTGGGTGATTAGGAATTACATCGTATGAGCCCAACTATGTTCAGCAGTGAGTCTACAGTAAGATACATAAAGAATCACTTTGGCTTCACAGGATCATTCCATCAAAGGTGGCTGTCAGAATAAAAGCATAAAATCAGTCACTGTTTACATCCACCGTGAAGAGGGAAGTGCTCTTGGGTCTGGAAGCCTTCACTGCTTGAACCAGGTAAACATCACTGAAAGCAGCAGTGTCAGACTCCTGTCTTTTTTTCATCATCACCAGAACCATTACTGTCAGGTTCAGTGCATAATTTTGGCAGGATGTGCTGTATACCCTGTTCTATTAGAGCTTGCCCAAACAATGTCTATATCTGTACTCCGACTTGCAGTGTGGAGAAATCACACTTAAAGAAATGTAATGATTGGTGGGAAAGATTTTTAAGTAAACCTCAACAATGCTGCCATCAGCTGGCCAAACATGAACTCAAGATGTGGTGCAACAGTAGAATGCTATAAAATTAAACTACAGGAAAAATTAAACTATGCTAGTGATGATCTATTAAATGCATAAGATCCTGCTGTTCATTCTTAGAAAGTGGTTATAATGTGCAAAGACACCTGCCAAGGACTGTAAACCTATTATAAAGCCATTCTTAACTGCAATTACAAAATTGCTGAAATACTCAGAAGAGCACTGAAATTTTTTGAGCCATAAAATCTTTAATGTCAGAATACTCTCACAGGAAGAGCTTGTGAAAAGGGAATAACAGGGCAGAAACAAGCCTACAGGTTTAAGTCCAGAGCTCTGAAAAACTTGAGAAAAGCCATTTTTCCTATAGTGAACACAAGGACACGTATTTTAGTGAACTGCAGCATATTCTCTATCCATTTTGCTGCTGCTCTTGGGTTTTCACGTCTTTCAGGAGGTGTATTTGAGCCAATAGCTGCTCCTCTCTAAGCCTGGTGCTGGTCTCTTCCTGTTAAAAGGGAGTTTTTAAATCACCCAACATGCTAAATGCATCTTGTTGACTGTCTGATTGTTGGGGTCTTTCTTAATTTTGTAGGAAATTAAGTTGTAAATGAAATTGGTCTGAATTAGACTAAGTCAAAATAATAAACAGGTGCAATCTACATTATATGGGCAATTAATGCAAAAAGCTTTAGTTGCACCTATAGGTTGCACTGTACACTAGCTGGCCCTGGAAAAACCTGCAGCGTTACAGATCAAAAAGGACTGATTACTGCTCTTTGTTTCTGTACTGGCTGAAGGTGATAAGCTAGTATTTTGAGAACACTTGAATACAAAGCCATATTATGTGGATGTGAAATTTAGCTGTGGACCTGGAAACCTCCACAGAAAGCTTTACTTGTCAGTTCAGCATTTAAAGAAAAGTACAAACCAAACTCTCCCTTCAAGTTTTATTCTGTTACAACACTTTAAACCACTGCCAAAAAAAACCATGCTGAAAAGGAAAAAAATATTGCTTTGGATTGCACAGCTGAGAAGGTACTGCCTGACTACTGAAGTCACAGAGACTTTCCAGCCAACAACTTTGCTCTGCGAGCTGCACCAGACTTCCTCTTTGCTTTAAGTCTGAGGAGGGACTGGGGGGATCCTTTTTTTCCTCCAACTTTGGCTTTGGTCCGATGTCTGGAGTAGTAAAACACAGACGAGCAAGTTAAGACGTGTAAATATTAAATCTTACGGGTAGAGTGGAGTGACAAGATTTATCCCTTAACAGGAACAGATCCCTGGCTCACCTGTTGAACCTGTGTGTGTGTTTGACAGAGCAGTCTTTACGTTTGTGCTCTGGGCTTCCGCAGTTAAAGCAGCCCTCCTTCCCTTCACGGGTGGTACATGGGTGGTCTGGCAGGGCACAACGGCCACAGGACTGGCAGTGCTCCCAGGCTTACAGGAAAGATATTTAAATAAATTCACAAGAAATATATGGGAAGTGTGACGTGAAATCAGTAACTGCACATCAGTTTGCATCTGTGATTAATCGACCTACACGGTTTCACACATTTCACACAGGTTGAGCAGTGCTTCCATTCTCGGCCGTCCTGCAAACACAGAAAATACAGGTTGTGACATGCAAAGATTCAACGGAAACTTGATGCAGTGCCTTTTCAATTTAAAAATAAAATGCAGTCACACGAGTTTCGTACCTTGGATGGGCAGAGGTTGCATTTCGCACAGTGTTTGTTCAGGGATGAGACATATCTCTCACATAAAGGGCAAAATCTAAAAACGAGAGGGTCATTCACAAATTAAACACTTTAAATTCAAATGTGCAGAGTTGCTTAAATACACACAAAAGACAGACAGACGTCTGACAGTTTGTGTTTCACAAAACTCTCATGTGTTTATGCATTTTATTAACTGCACAAGGAAAACCTGGAGTTGGCGGTATGAGCTGTTCATTTCTTCACATATGAAAGTCTTGAAAATACCAAAATAAAAACACCAACCCCATTTTTAAAATGAAGCTGAGGGATTAATGACAAATAACACCAATGAATTCATGCATCCATTAGTTTCCCCATTAAACTGCCTTCTTAACTTTGTGCTAAATGTGATATCTTTAATTAAACACTTTTAAATGTAGCTCATAACTTTGCCCTTTTTATGGCGATGATTTTCTTACAGTTGAGAAAATTAACAGATGATTTTTATTCTCCACAGTTAACCAAAAACATGACTTTGGTCAGTCTATGCTCAAGCCCTTTTAGTTAACATCAAATCACAAACCGATAACAATCTATTCAAATGTTTTATCACATATACTTTAAGACATTCTCATCTCCAACATTATTTCTGAACACGTCTGGATTTAACTGAGTGAACATGTAGTAACCTGTAACCTTCCTCTTTGGGAAGGATGATGTCTCTGGGTGAAAGATTAGTGAAGAGTCTGACAGGAGACTGTTTTCTGCCCATCTTTCCATGTTTATACAGAGGATGGTTGTCATAGTCCACCTGGTTCAAAAGAAAAACTGAAAATTTTAAAACTGAAATTTCATTACTTCTAGTTCTAAATCTTTTATTTGTTTTTGTGGCCATAATATTCCACTGTAAAGTGCACTGAAATATTTAATAAATAAAGTAAGCTCGAGGATCTAGGGAAAGTGGAGCATTGATAAAAAGCATAGCCTTGATTCGGTTTGTAGTCTAATAACAGTAACTATGTGTGAGTCAGCATGCTGCAGCTGAAGCAGGAGCCAAAAACACATTTTAAATAACTTCAATTTAAGAATGCGCATAAATTGTTGTCTCTATGTCACATTTGATTGATAAACATAAATAATAAGGGGTAGAGTACGAGTCAGTGGAACTTTTCATTCGACAAAATTATGAGTGTCTATGCAAGTAAATATTATAGCGCATCACTTAATGTTATTAGTTTAGAAAAACCTAAAGCTATACGTACGCAGAGAGTAATATTAGCTGATGACTCTAAACTGCTGCCTTGCTGTTACCTGGTAATCCAACATGCTGAATGATGGGAAACACTCCAGTATCCGAGGCTCAAAGAAATAAGGGAAGACCCAGATCATGGGCATGTTAGCATTACTGCTGTCTGCACACACAAACACAACATGCATGTTACAGTCAAACACTAGATTTCTTCATTTAAAGTAATAGTTCTAATAGTAAACAAAAAGTCTCTTTCCTTGAGCCATGCAATGACTTGCTGCTACTATAACTTTAGCTTAACCCTAACCTGCAGAGAAAAGGATTGTAAGCAAATCTAGTCTTTGCCTCTTTTAGCTCGTTTTGCTGTTAGTCTGTATAATTTAAAGTCTTACACTTCTCAACCAACCTCCTTTCCAACACCCAATAGAGCTTCTAAATGTATCTTAATGCTGCTCCACTTTGTGTGTCTGCTAACATGTTAGCCATATCAACTTTAAATTATGATAACATTTTAGCATAAAGTTTTGTTTTTGCATCTTATACCTATTAAAAAAAAGACAAGTCATAAATATAAAAAGAAACAATTAATTCTGAAAGTTCCACAGCGGTGCTGACCAGAGCTCTGCAACTTCTTCCATGTGTGAGATAGCAGAGAGAAACTGTTGGCCAGGGGCTTCACCAGACCACCAAACGGAGGGTCGGCTACCATTGCCACCTTCTCCCCATCAGACTCTCTGAGGAAGTTCTTCAGGGTTGCACTGGATGACTGATAAGAGAGAAGGCTTTATCAAACTCGGCTGTTGATGGAAAGTTTGACTGAACTAGCAGGACATCAGCTCAACTCCTACCTCTCCACCAAAGAAGTGATGGTTAAACATGTTGTAATGACAGAACTCATCTTGACTGTAGAACTGAGCATACCTGAAACAGAAAGATTTTGTTTGGCTTTTTATTATGCAACAGACTGTTCAGTGCTTCCGGACGCTGGTTAAAAAAAAAAGAGAACAAGTTTGAGCCTATTGACGACTGGTATACAGCACATTAGGTAACAACACAGCAGGGAAGGATAAGGTGTCTGACTATGTGCTGCAAGCTGAAGCTTGTTACCCAGGAACATACCCATCCTGCACTTCTAGCACAACGTTACAGAAACAAACAGCAGCGAACTCAGGTAAGAAGTTCTTAAAACAACATTATTTGATAATGGTTAAAGAATATCCTTTAGTCCAGATATGCTGCCTTATTAAACAGTACACAACAGAACAGATTCGTCTCTTTGAAACTTGAATAAAAACAAACAAACATTGGATTTAATTATTATTATTTTATTTAAATTATTACAGTAGGTCAGACTTGGAACTCTGATCTGGAATAGATTTTTGGTAAAGGCTTGGCATGAAATGACAGGTTTTCTCGAACTTTTCATAGCCCTGACGAGTTAATTTAATCTATACACACACAAATACACAGCAGAAGCTAATTCCAAGAAAGTGCTTTTTTAAATAAAAGGTAAATGAGAGAATGACTTATGTAGAAATGTAATCTGTTTTTATTGTTTTGTTCAGTCCTCAGAAATGGCAGAAAGAGAGTCGTGCTCCCTCGGTAATGGAACGTCAACAGCCGTTTACACTAATCTTTTAGCGCCCTCTGAAGGCATCCACAGCCTACTGCAAGACGGGCTGAGCTTCACTCCACTGGACGCCAGCAGTGACGGCACTATTCAACCTTTTTCTCGTTCACCCAAACTATAGCGTAAGGCTGCCAAAACCGCACAACCCTCTCAGGTACAGATGTTTTGATTGGCTGGAACATACACCAATCGGCTATAGCATTAAAACTAGCTGCTAAATATTAATAAGTCGCTCTAGTGCTGCCAATCTCCATAAACCCGGCTTGTGGATTAACATCTTGTAGGTCAGGGGTGGGGGAACTCCAGGGCGCGAATACAATGCTGCATGAAGTATTTACTCTGTGATTCTTACACACAGACTTTAGAGATTTTACCACTATCTACGCATGGGTCATAGGCCATAATGACTGTGACCTAATCAAGGCAACACTGTGCATTTTCTCTCTATAAAACTTTTCTTTATTCGAGAGCTCAGCAACCAGCAGCCCCAAAAAAAGAAAAGGAATACTGTCATATAAATCTCAGTTTAGTGTCGAACTCTTTAAAGAACAGCAGGAACTGATTAACAAGTATGACGGGATAGATAGATCATAGAATCATCAGGTGCCAAAGACCGATCATTTAGATCATTTATGATACAAAAAATGTCCTGTTGTCTGCAGGAGCAGTTAACCAGACGTATCCAGGAGCTGCAGGCTGAAACGTCCAAGACTAAGGCGCGCATCCAGTCTCTGAAGAAACGCAAGGCCGATCTCTCTGTAAGTAAAAACCTAAAACTACCAGCACTGAAAAATTACCTAATACATTTCTGACCACCAAGTCCAAGGACTGCAAACAGAGCAATGATATATAATAAATCCCTAATAACATGTCCTCTTAATCACGCTCCTTACTGAAGAGGACCACAGAGGTCATGAAGCAGCAGGTTCGAGAGCACTTTGAGAACATGCGGTGCATTTTGAAGCAGGATGAACAGGTGATCCTGGACTCCCTGGAGCTGGACCTGAGGCATACAAGGACCAAGCTGGACCAGGTTCTAAAGAAGTGGGATAACTACCACGACCAGGTCACCAAGAGCATGAGCAGCATACAGAGAACGTTGAGTAAAAGCACCACAGCGAAGGAAGGCGAGCAGGTCTGATTTACATACAGCTCAATAACAAAGCTATAAGTAGTGTTCTTTTATTTTAACCAGTATTTCTGCTTATGTCTCATCTCAAGGGTCACTCTGAGACTGCAAGGTAAATCGCTGCACCTTTTACCTTTGCTGCTTCATCCCCGTACAGGTCTAAATCACACCTCTGTGCCTCACTTTGATCTTTGTCACCACTCCTCCAGCCTTAAGAAGCCAGACACGTCTGAGAAGGAAATCAGGCTGAATGAAGAGAGATTCGAGAGGCTTCTAAAAACACTCTCCTCCATCTCCAAAAACCTCAAGGCCAGGCTGCAGAGGAAGACTCTACTCTTAGGTACTAAGATGCTTACATCTACATGCTATCAGGCTAACTCATTTACAGCAGCAGAGTGAGTGAAGTTAGGTGTACTTTGGGAGCATGACAGAACAAAGTAGGCCAACCAAGGGATGCTTTATCTGGTTAAAATAACACCAAAAAAAATAAACGTTTTTCTTCCCCCCCCCTGCAATCTACAGTAAATGTCTGCTCCAGATTACTCATTTGCTGCATATACAAATAAATCAGTCATTGTGTGAAAAAATGGTTGGATGGTGTTTAGGTCAAAATATAGGTATTGATGATCATGGCATCAAATCCATCAACTCTCAACTTAGTAGATCCAAATAGCCGATATCAGCTGTTTGCTGAGCTGTTGATGCTAATGCACTGAGCCACCAGGTGCTTCTTAATAAGTGTGGATGTTGGCTTTCTACTTATCCATAGTTCCCACATGCATTGGTCTTCTCTCATTAGAAGCATTCCATCAATTCCATATTGTCAGTCCATTTCCATGTATGCTGTGCTCCAGTAGCCCACTTCCTAAGCAATTTGACCTCTCCCCCCATCCCCACCCTGTAACACTAATAACCTGTCAAATCAAATATGCGGCGCCATCTGCTACAATCACGAGTAATAATACATTTGTTTACAATTTGTTTACAGTAACTCTGATAATAACAAAAGATCAAAATCTCATTAACAAATTATTTCATTCTTTTCAGATTCTTTCCCCATAATGATCGACAGGCAGTCTTGCCATAATCTGATCAGAGTGACATCAGAGGGGCGGGGCATGTCCTTCTCTGGCTCTGCTTGCCCAGCTCCAGAACATCCCCTTCAGTTTGATAAGGTATGCTGTGCTCTGGGGTCCTCTCCCATCACAGCAGGTCAGAGTTACTGGGAGGTAAATGTCCGCTGCTGCTCAGCCTGGGCTGTGGGTGTAGCCTATGACACCCTTGAGAGAAAGGGCAATGACAAGGGCGCCAAGCTGGGCCGAAACAGGAACTCATGGTGCGTAGAGTTTCAGAACCGCAATCTGACCGCGTGGCACAACAACCGGCACATATCATGTCAAGGAGTGGGGCAGACTCCAATTAGAAAAGTGGGAGTGTGGGTTAATTATGATAAAGGCCAGCTGATATTTTACGATGCAAAAAACATGGTTGTCCTGCAAAAGTTCTCAGCAGCCATGACACCGGTGTTCGACAGAGCTCATCACCAGTTCACTCAACCCCTGTACCCCGCCATACGCTTCCTGAGACCACCGGACAATCAGGTCTGGCCAAACCACTTGGAGTTTTGTTCCCAGAAGTTTCTGTGATACCATTATCATATTCTACATAAAGTTGTGCTTAGAAGTTTACATATGCTCATCATTGTGATGAATGCTATGAATGCTATATCTTTGAGCTACGTAGAACGATTGTACAGCATAAAAGCTTTAATGACTAAAGGCTCAAATATACACTTAAGTCTTTTAACAGATGGCACTGAAATTATTTTTACCTTGACAGGGCCTGTAAATAATTTGATCAATTGACTACAACTGGTAGTTTATCTTTGCCAGCATAAAAAAAGGATTCTCTTGACAGCACTCATGAGACCAAAACTTAGAACAATGGAAAACTCGGAACTGTAGGTTCTACAAAGGATTATAGATTTACACAAGTTCAGAAAGTCTGATGAAATCATCCCCAAATCTGATTCCAGGGTCATCGGCTCAAATATACACAAGTACATATTTGTGCCTGTATATATGCTTTTGACCTTTGAAGCCTGATCCATGAAATAACTGCTAATTTTTTTTAAAAGATTTATGGAGTGTTTATTTAATCTTTTGGCAATAAAAAAAATGAAATATTTATTTGAACATATGAGTTTTAATTTGTATCACATATGATACACTAGGCATTAAGGGGTAAAAATGTATCTTCTACAATGGTTTCACACTGAGAAAAGATCGATAAAATCTTTTTTAAAAAGTACCCTGACATTCAATGCCCATGATAAGAACATGAAAAAGTCTGACCACACCACTATAACAATGTGGAACATCTAGCCCAGAGGTATTCAATTAAAATTTAAGGAGGTCCAATTAAACAAAACCAGTATTTCTCAAGTAGCCAAATAGTTGTAATGGTATCTGTATATAGTCAACAACTGGCTGTCATTCAACAGTATTTCAAGAATGGCTAAACTTCAGATTCCCACATCCTCCTCCACAGAAGCATAGTGGTAACTTCTCCATAAAGCAACACACAACCTTTCATACAAGTACCTTGAAAAGCTACATAGCAGAATTTAGACTGAGACATAGTAACTAAAGCTACACTACTCAACTGGCTGATGACAGCTGGAATTGGCCTTGATGATCAGGTTGTAATGTCATGAAACGTACTGCCAGTCCATATATATTCGTTCAGTCAGTCCTGAAATCTTCTCTCATTATGAAACATTAGCATCGGTTTCAAATGCCACCATGTTCTGCTCAGTCATCATTCTTTGAAATGCACAAAGAGGGTTTGCAGAATAAACATGTTAGACTCAGTGAAATGCAGTCTAATTCATTCTCACCTTGATTTTATATACACAAAATAGCCTATGTGCAAACACCTGGAACGCTTTATTATATACAGGAAAGCAGCAACTGATGCATAAATTAGCAAACTTACCTAAAGTCAATGTCCAGCAAGAGACTCTTTATTGGCTCAAGCTTTTGCTCCAGATTTTGCAGCTTGATCAGCTCCTGCAGTCTGACCCAAAAGGTAACAATCTCATTACTGATGAAAAACACATCTGTAAGCGTTAAACATTTAAAGCATTTAACTGAGATTTGACTAATCAAAATATTTAGCCTTCAGTATATGACAGTTACACATAATTGATGTATCACCTGTCAAATGCCATACCTACAGTGACCCACGGTGAAGGCAAAATCATGCTGCAGTGGGAATAGACAGAGAGACTTCTCCAAAATTAAGTAGATGCACCTATGGTATGAATTTCAAAATCCTACATTGCCACTTTCTTGAGAATGTGATGTAATAGAAGGTAGTGTTTTTCCAAGGGTGTAGAGATCACAAAGTGTAGTTGTACAGAAAGATGTACATTAGCAGAGAGGACTTGGTTAGTGTGTTTCCATCATCATAGTTGAGCTCGTCACAGTCAAATTAGAAACCTTAGGTTACATAATGGCTCCATTTCTGCTTTAAGTCACCAGATGAACTGATTCATCGAGGCAGTTCAGACAAGATGCTTCACTATAACCGAGACAAATTTTCTGATACATTCAAAGGTCACACTTGTGTCTGTCTCACCTGGGTGTGCCCACACACAGTATTTTCCTGTATCCCAGACCTGCTAAAGTATCCAAGAGAAAGTTTGCACTGCGGTCCGTGAAAAGGTACTGTGCGTTGCTCTTCTTGTTGTTCAGGGGACGCAACAGTGCACTGGGCCTCCTCAGCTGTGCTGCAGTAATGGGAGTGGATATGTGAGCAGAGTGAAGGCTGTGCTCGTCTGGCAGGAGCAGAATCTGACAGTCCTGACAGAACTTCTTCTCATCCAGAGGGAGCAAGACAAACTTTTGAAATCTGAAGGACAAGATACAAATATCCTAAAAGTCATCCCATACAAAATCAGCATTAAATAAATAAAATGAAGCTTTATAAACAGCCTAAGATAAGCAAAATGAGTATAAAATCTCACCTGCTGCAGTACTCCTTATGGGGGAAAGGGGGCCTCGTTGACTGGCTCTCTGCTTCTCTGGCCAGCAGCCTGGCTTCTGAAACCTTTGACGCAAGTGAATTGAAACAAACTGATCGATGTCTTACATCGTTTTATCATGAGCTCTGGAATTTTCCAGTAAGCCTACCTTTTCATCTTCCCACTGAAAGAAGTTGCAGTCTTTTCTATCTCGACAGGCCGAACATGCATAAAACCTCCGACTTTTTTCTCCTCCTTTACAAACCTTCTCAAACAGCAAGGTAGGACCTGACAAAATATACAAAGTTGTTAAAAGTTTGTTATATTCCACAGAGAAGAATAATATGGGTCATTTCTAACCCCGGAAGGTCACACAAACATGGGCTAAAGTCTTCAGCTCACCTGTTCATTAAACAGAAATATTTAATCGCCCAATAGCATGGCAGTAACTAAATGTATTTAAAGTTTTGAAATTCAAACTGAGCATAAAAATCGTAAAGAAAAGTAATTTAAGTCACTTTGAATGTAGCATAGTTGGTGTTCCCACTGAGACAACCATCTCTAGGGTTTACAGAAAACGGTCAGTACTTTGTGCCAAACTGCTTCCCTGATGGCGTTGAAGCCAGAGAAGAATAGTTAATCTGCTTTTAGCTGACCGTGGCATGCAAAAGAGCATGTCTGAATGCACAACATAATACCTCAGCAGGTGCCTCTCCTTTCAGCTAAGAACAGGTAAGTGAGTCTACAAAACTTTGAGCATGGTCTCACAAATTTGGAAAAACATTGGCTGGTCTGATGACTTAAGAATTCTACAGCGATGTTTGGACAGCAAAATTTGGTGTAAGTAACATGAAGTGATGGGTGCATGTGCTTTTGTATCAACAGTTCAGGGAGCTGCTGCTGTTATGATGTGGGAGCTTATTTTCTTGGCACACTTGGGCTCCCTAGTACCAGCTGATAATTTAAACACCACAGCCTACTCCAGTTCTGCCACCTTGTCCATTCTCTTATGGCTGCTCCCAGCAGGATAGCGAGCCGTGTCACAAAGTTTGGATAATCTCAAACTGGTTTCTTGAACCTCACAATGAGTTCAGTCTACTCAAATGGCCCGAGAGCACCATAGAGATGTGGTCAAACGATGTATAGCAGACAACTGCGACTGCAACCAAAATATGTGAGAAATGTTTTCTGCACCAGGCACGTGCAGGGGGGGGGCTAGAGGGGCTTGAGCACCCGCCCCTTTCCTGATGGGTGCCCAAAGTGCCCTTTTGTTGAGGCAACTTTTTTAAAAAAAAATTATTATTTTTATTTTTTATGTGTGTGTGCGTGCGGAGTCCTGTCTGTGCCCCTCAACAATAATATTTAACTATTAATCACAGTTTTGCTAAATAAAAGGATCTGGCTTGCATCAGTCACATGATCACATTTAACCAATGATCGCCCTTGACGGCAGAACGCGCTGGTTACGAGCCGGGAACGAGCTCACAAAGAGCACGCGCATTTTTAGCGGTCCGGAGCAGCAGAGTGAAGCTGACCCCCCACCCACTTGAAACGTAAAGGCAAATAGGCGGAGCGGTTAGTGCTACGTTTGTGCAGATTTGTGCAGGTAAAATTAGTATTTGTGCTGCTACCGTTTCCGAGATATTAAACTTTATTTTATAGGTCATTCAAAGGTCACCATCCCCCCAGACTGCTCCAAAACGGGCCAAAATGGTCTACTTTTTTAGTGCTACGTTTGTGCTGATTTGTGCAGGTAAAATTAGCGTTTGTGCTGCTTCTGTTTTAAAGATATTAATGAAAATGAAAAGGTCAACCAGCCCCCCCACATTACCCAAATCCAACAAAAGTGGTATCAAACGTTTGTGCTACGTTTGTGCTGCAAAGATTTTCGTTTGTGCTGCTATCATTTTAAAGATATTAATAACAATTTCTAGAGGTCATCAGAGGTCAACCAGCCCCCCCACATTAATTAAATCAAACAAAATGGCTGTCAATCAACTGTGCTACGTTTGTGCTGGTTTGTGCTGCTAAAATTTTCGTTTGTGCTGCTTCTGTTTTAAAGATATTAATGAAAATGTAAAGGTCAAAAGGTCAACCAGCCCCCCCACATTACCCAAATCAAACAAAAGTGGTATCAAACGTTTGTGCTACGTTTGTGCTGGTTTGTGCTGCAGAAATTTTTGTTTGTGCCGTTATTATTTTAAAGATATTAACAAAAATTTCTAGAGGTCAACCAGCCCCCCCATATTAATGGAATCAAACAAAATTGATGTCAAACGTTTGTGCTGGTTTGTGCTGCTAACATTTTAAAATGTTTAATAAAATAACGTCTTGATGCGTGCTTAATCATCCAGGTAAGTAAATCCCAAAAGGTTGATTCTGTTCATCTGGACATTTTCAGTTGGAGAAACGTTTCGTCACTCATCCAAGTGACTTCTTCAGTCTCAGCTGACTAGCACAAACGCTAATTTTACCTGCACAAATCTGCACAAACGTAGCACTAACCGCTCCGCCTATTTGCCTTTACGTTTCAAGTGGGTGGGGGGTCAGCTTCACTCTGCTGTCCGGAGCTGTAGGAGAGACACAGACTGATGCCACAAAACCAGTAAGTAGGTGTACAGCGTGCACTGTAGTGTGTAGCACCCAGGAGTATTGGCTTATTACGTACACGTTGGTAAGCTGTCTTGTAGCAACTGACGAACTGAAACAAACGAGCGTGCTGTGTGTGCAACAGCGCGACAAACATTACCTGTCCTTTTATTAACTGCACAAGTAGTGCTGGTCATAGCTGCTGGCTACCTGGCTGTCATGGGTCTGTAGCTCTGTCACCGTTTTTGGGAACATATTTAGTTTTAAAGTATTTAGAAACATATTTAGTTTTAAAGTAAGTTACAGAGCTTTTCCTGCCTTTCTGGAGGGATTATATTTCACTAAAAAACGATCTAATATGCATGTCCACATAATAATTATTATAATATATTTAAAAACACAAGCTGTATTTTAAAGAACATACATTAAGAAGCAGATTATATTAGATTTATATTTTAAATAAGACAAAATTTGGATTTTACAGTAGTGAAATTATTGTATCTCTACAGTTTTAAAAATGTAATAAGCTTTGCCCTGCACAGAGTGGATAGTGAAACAAATGGAATCATCATAATGACATTATTTCATATTTATTACTTCCCCCTCCTCATTGCTTTATTATTGTAGCTCTAGTAATAAATAATAATGTAAGGATTCTGAATCAGCACAGTGATGCCCATAGTATATACAGTATTCTGAAGAAGATCTAAAATGTCACTGTGTGTGCATGTGTGTGTTTTATGTATATGGATTTTTAACATTGTCCAGACATGGCTGGTAAGGACATGAGGAGGAAACAGTAGGAGCTGTGTGAGGCTACTAAAGGCAGGGCTATAACATTTTTCTGTCATCATTTTATTATAGATTAAGTGCTGGAGTTGTTAGGTGTGGATAATTAGATTATAGTTTATTGCAATAGCAAGTTGTGCCTTGTTCTCAGATAGACAGCAAGTGCAGAGTGATATATGAAATGATGGGATGGAAGGAAGAAGAGAAGCAAAGAGTGATTCACAGGCAGAGCCTAAATTATTTCTCACAGTTTTTTGTGTCCTTATGGTTCCAAGCGCTGTCACCAATCTTTGCATTTTGTTATTATCTCATGACACTTGTTTAATCAGCTACCATCTCTCCTGTGGACTTTTTAATGTCTACAGTCTCAGATCAACACAGCCCTGCCCTTCCCATATTAGATTCTTGATGAATGTGTGTTGTTGTTATTCAGCCTGGTTCAATGTGCCCCTTTTTAACTTTGAGCACCCGCCCCTTTAAACCTCTCTGCACGGCCCTGTTCTGCACCCTGCAGTATGTGTGGCACAAAGAATCAAAGCAATTTTAAAGGGAAAAGAAAGTCCCATAAAGTTGATTCTGTTCATCTGGACGGAGCGTTTTCAGTGGGAGAAACGTTTCGTCATCATCCAAGTGACGTCTTCCGTCTCAGCTGACTGCAGGTTTCCCCAGACTTAAACAGTACATTTGCATAATGACTGAAACCAGCCCACTGAAGGAACAAAGGTCATAATTATGCAAATTCTCGTGACCATTGATCAACAACCACTGATCACTGAAAAAGAAAGTCCAAACCGGTCGTGCCAAGGTACATATCCACGACGGAATTTGTTCCCCCAGCGTGGGGAGCTGTAACTTTGCTGTATAAAGAGCTAACATCTCCAAAATTTCAGGAGTAGTTAGTCATTATAAGAAGTGTTTGTGAACTAAAAATGAAGAATGAGAGATACCGTTTGTCCGTGATTTGGACAACCCAGTGGATGCTGGAGACGAAGGGTAAACAAACTCTGTCGGAGATGCCTTCCTTGGCACGACACCTGTAAGCGTGTGTACTATATACACATGTACACATGTAGTAGATTTCATTTTCAGAAATACACCCCTATTACTGCTAGCTACTATAGGCAGGATATATTAAAATAGCTTGATTACATGTATAATATCATCACAGACAATCTTGTTCTAAGTATATCAATAAAAAGGCTAAGCAACTTTAAAATAAGACATCAAACTCAGTTTGGCTTACTCTAAGTAAACTTACCATGAGAACAACACGGGGCTGTTTTCCCGCCCTCACCGAGAATAACTTCTATTCCGTAACTGTTGCCATATTCCTCGTTTACATCCATTCTGTCGAGTTTATGCAACAACAAAGTTTAGCTTTAAACCTTTCAACATGATGGCGTGCCCATGAAGCCCTTTTCTTGTCGCGGAGATATGACGTCACAACCACGTTGTCGCAGAAGGCAAAACAAAAGCTGAAATAAGCTCATTGGTCCAGTTTACTTTGATGATGACTGAAATTGTTGTCAAAATTTACGAATTTCAGTTGTGTGGGGTTAATTGTATTGGTAGTGGTTAATAGGAGTAAGATCATGATAAAATCCGATGTGTTATCGATATATTTTAGGAATTTATGCTATTGTATGGAGTGACTTTAATTCACATGCAAAATCATAATTTATTTTATAATTAATTGGACATTGATTGTCCAAGGAGCAGTAGTTTAAAAAAAATCATTAAATATATTAGTGTTGAACCACAGAATCCTTTCCTTACCTGTATATTTAGCAATAGATTTATTTCAAATTAGAATGAATTTTTGTGAAATAAGTATTCAAAAACAAAGACGACTTTTACAATGAGGTTTCTTTATACCAGGAGGAATGTAGTCCACCGCTGGATACTCTGTCATTACACGGCGGGTTTTCTTTAAGAAAAATACAATTCCCATAAATTCCGAGCCATGAGCGCAGTGGCGCTGTCAGCCCGATGACTGCTCTGGAACTGCCGGCTGGATGCTGAAGCTTCAAGAGACAACACGGCCGCTGTTACCTAAATCCAAACAGGAAGCTTGCAGTTTATGTCTTCAAAGTAAAATACATTTTAGTGAAATAAGAAGGAATCGATCATCTCCAAATGTTTTCTTTTATTTGAGTGATGGAAAAACTCTCCCGAGACGCTTACCCCTAAAATCTAAACAGAATAACAAGTTCCAACAAAAACATTTGCCAGTATTTATTTGTTATACTTATATATTCCATATATTTATTATATTTTCAGATCAAATTCGCACAAACAGAGAGTAAAAAGTAGCTTTGGGATTCCCAGTAGCCCAGATATAAAGGTCGCATTTCTGCTACATTTTATAACATAGAGCACAGATACGCTACTTAACCGTCAGCGTTCAAACTGACATTTATTTTGAAATGACGCACCGGACACTGCTCAATCCCTTCTTCTTTCGAGTTTGACACTAGCGTTTCTGCACCGTGCGCCCACACCCAACCTGCACCGTCTGCTGTACGGAGAGGCAGCGCAGTTCTGCAGTGTGTGCAGGACATTGTCCTCACGGTGCAGCTGTTTGTGGAAATCTGTGCGGCGTCAGCAGCCAGGCACAGCCGGACTCTCTGCTGCACTTTCCCGTGTAAACATCTCTCTGTCATTCATTCGGCTGGCTGCCACTGAAGCTTGCGCGCTTTGCATCCATGTACTGTTAATGTGGATAGTGACTTGTTTACTGTGCATCATCTGACTGGAGAATATATCTGACTGGCACCATGAGCAGCACGGGTAAGACCGATTAGACTATTTTACATTAAACACTGCGGTTTTTTAACTACACAAACGCAAATGTTTTAGTATTAATAGAAACATTCCAATAATATCTTCTATAATATCTTTTAAAAGGATCATCATAAAATCCAGTTAGCTGATCAATACTGTGTCTTTTCTTCTTTGTCTCAGGTAATGGTGCTTTTTTGCTTTTGTTTGTTATTATGTGATCAGGTGTGGAATATATGGTTAAAGTGTATTTATAATCGGTTAAAACATAAAAATAGTTCATTCCCTCTCTTTGCTGCAAAAGGGGCACCAGAACGCACCTAGATAACAGATTCTACATTAAAGACTAGAATCTGAAGTTTAGACAAAGCTTCAGCTTTAATCCCTTTGAGAAATGATATTATGTGGGTTAATTAGGTTGCAGCTACACCCACAGTGGCTTTGGTGGCTCTTTTCATCATGTGGCTCTGCATTGACTGTATGCCTCTGTGTCTACAGCAGGCCTGACTTCTGGTGAGGTGCTGCCAGCTGTGGCACAAAAAGGTTGATCGTTATTTGAAGTCTGTGTGTCGTGTCAACTAGGCAGTTAAGTGCCATTCTGGTTTGCTTGTGCAAATAAATCCAAGAGCTAAACTTGCAACACAAGTTCCACAATAATAAGTTCCTAATGCGAGAAAGCTCCTCGGCATGAGGTGTGGCAGTAAATAAAATGTTGTTAAGACATAAATTTGCTTAAGGGTAAATTACAAATGGATGTGTTATAGCTCACAAATAACACACAGAAGATGAGTAGGCAGTCTCATAAAGGGATGGACAAGGTCATCAACAATGCTCAGGTAGGCAGTGGTGTTCAAACTCAGCTCAGCCTCCACAGCATGAGCCATTGATGCCAGCAGGACGGCTCCATCCTGACCCTATCATCCAAATGTTTTTTTCCTCTTTTGTTGAAGTTTGTGAGGCTGTGTGAACTGTAGTTTCCTGTTGTTAGCTGGCAGGAGTAACGCCTGTGCTGCTGCAGCATATCTGGTTCATAATTTGTGTTGCATTCAGAGATGCTCTTGGCTGCAACGAGTGGTTATTTTAATGACTGTAGCCCTCCTATCAGCTCAAAGCTGTCCTCTGACCTATGGCCAAGGTCGCTCACAGGCTATTTTCACTTTTTTGGACCATTCTCCATAAACCCTGGTTGTTAAGGGAAACCCCAGTAGATCAGCAGTTCCTAAAATACTGAGACCAGCCCATCTGGCACCAACAACCATGACATGTTTAACGTTACTTCAAAGCACCTTTCCTTCATTCTGATGCTTGGCCTGAACCTCAGCAGGTCATTGTGATCATATGAACTGTCTGCCATGTGTGTGTATTTGCCATAATGAGTAGCTAAACTGCTGTACCTCACAAAGTGGCCAGTGAGTTAGTATCATTGCAGATGTGTACTCATGTTAAAAATTGTTTAAAGAAATGAGTAAACACTTAGGATTCAGACTACAACATATTTTTCTACTTTTGGATTTTAATTATGTCAGTGAAAGGCTGTAAGCACAGCAGTCCCACCCAGCTGTTGTTCAAACACTGTTTGTGGGGGCAAAGACAATCAGAGGAAAGAGGGAGGGAGACTGGCCTTTAAGAGAAAGGAGCTAAAATTGCTCACTTTATGACTCTTGATGAAATGAGGAGCTGCACCAAGGGCCAGTATAAATAATTATTATTTTGAGACTCTAGTAAGATGCACGTTTGATGATGCATACATGTTTCCCCGCCATTTCTGTTTCCTGATGTCTTTTACCAGATGTCAGATTTTAAAACTTGGAATCTGAGGCTGTCCAATCCAAAACAAGTAGAAATGTGAGTATTAGTAGGGAAAGAGATTGGGTTCTTCAAGACAGGAAAATGGACTGTCCTCAGCTTCAATGAGGAAACCGTGGCTGTTGGAGGCATTAATGAGAGTGCTGCAGTGTGCACACCATTATAATCTGATGGAGAAAGAGACAACCCTGAGATGGCATTACTCTGCGACCTTGTCACCTTTCTGTGTGATGCATTTTGATAGATGTAACTTTTTAGCTGATGAAGAATGTTGGTAAAATATGTGATTAGGGATTCAGATCTCTACCTAAGCATGCTGACAGCTGGTCTGCACACACAGGATCAGTATGCTTCTGATAAACAGCTTTATCTGTTGAAGAGGTGCTGTTGTATTTCAGTGTGTTTAGCTAGCAAAAAAAGTCTATTTCGAAGAGATGTGTTCATTAATCTTTACAGAGGGTGTTTCTGAAAACAAGGAAGCTTGGAGCACTGGCAGCTTGTTTTGATGATTGAGCATGTTATTGGAAAACGAAAGTTATGTTTTGAGATATTTTCCTTTCACTGGATTAAGTTGATTTTTGATATTTTCCAGATCACAATCCCGTTACTGTCCTGTTCTGACTTTTCCCCTTATCTTAATCTCATTGTAAAATAATGTTAAGAATTCCAAGTCTACTATCTGGCCCTGCCATAGTCCTACATTACTGTGCAAAAGTCTCAAGCCAATCCTCATTTTTTCATATTTTTCTGGGAAAATAAGTGATAAGTGCAACAATTTCTTGAGCCATGTGCAAATATCATTGGAAACACAGTACAGAAGTCTTGGTATGACCACATTTATTCTTCTTTAACTAATTTTCAGGAATAGTTCTCTAGTTTTCTTGCTTCTTGTGTGTGTGTGGGATTGCAGCTGCCAAATAGCAGATCTCAATAGGCAACATATTTAAATGTCCTTCAGCTGTAAGATCATAATCCATCTTTAATGTGTTAATTACATATGTATGTTTAGCATTTTTGACTCTTTTATCCTGAGGTACTGGTCACATTTCACCAAACAGTGAAACAGACAAACCTGATTCATTCTTTATCTCAAACCACACTGTCCTTCCAGAACCAGTGTGACCCAATGGGACTGTTCATAGATGAAGTTCCAGGCCTCAATTCAGGTAATGTTCTTAAGAAAAAATAAAGAACTAAGGAAAGAGAGATCCACAGTGCGGTTGTCTAGTAACTAGAGCAGGGCGATATGACCAAAAATATTTATCACGATTTACATTTGAAAATTTGCGATAACGATATAACTGACGATATAATTGAAACTAGACAAAATACTCTTTATTATAAATAAACTTTATTAGTGCAAAAAAAAAACAAACAAAAAAAAACCCATCAATGTATTTTCACTTAAGCAAGCAGCTTTTTTAAGTGCATTAAAGTTATATAAAAATTTAACAGTGCAAATGCAAATTCCTTGCTGACAGTTTAACCAAAAGGCATTTCCAGTGGAAACTGGCCGACATATCCTCAGCATAACCATGTACAATATCCACAAAACCTAAAAAGAGGTTATACACACACAATACGGTAATATTATGTTGAAGCACAGTACGTATCACTCCGCGAGGCTCCGCCTACGATAGCCGTAATGCTCCGACAATCCATCAAGCGGTGCGGCTTCATAGCTTAGCAAAGTCGTACTAAAACATTTGACAGATTTTCGAGCGCCGTGTACATAAAACCGTTTCGAGGTCAGTAAACAAAACCAGAATTCATACATAAGGCACACGGGATTATAAGGGGCACTGTCGATTTTCAGAAAAATCAAAGGATTGATTTTAAGTGTGCCGTATTTTCCAAAAAACACGGTAATAACGACGGCCCGCTAGCATGCTCTACCAAAAATAGTGCTTTGTTGTGTATCTGACGGATGAAAGCCAAACCAGTCCCACACCACTGAAGTTGCAACATTTTTACAAACCAATCCTGGTTCATCCGTTTCATTCAACGATCCACTTTCGCTCTTCTCATTCTTCGTCGCCGCCATGTGCGTATGTAAACAAAGGCACTGCGCATGCGTATTTTACACATATTCTATCGCGATATTTCATTTTCTTATCGTTGCCCAGCATTACACCGGTATTAACGTGAACGGTATGATATGGCCCAGCCCTACTAGTAACACTTGAATTTGACACTATGAAGATTCTTGGGCTCGGGATATGACCAAGTTAAAATAAACCTCTTAGAGATGATGAATATACCCTGACAGAAAGTCTTTCGTTTTCAGATCAGTCTGCGTTCTTTCAGTTCCATAAAAATACAAGTAGATGCATGAAGGAGGTACAGTAGGTTCAGAGTTACAGTAGATTAGGTTATTTCCAGGCCTTGTAATCAAGGTATTTCCTAAGCTGGAACACATTGACAGCACTGATCCCCCTAACCACAGGGGAATCAGTGACAAAGAGGGATGGAACATCGGTGAATTTGCCTGTTAATTACAGCTCAGATTACGCCACAGGTCACATGAAGAGAGGTCTAATCAATACTGTTTCTTACAGTTTTCTCCTAATATGAACCTGCTGACCTCTTAATGATATCCTCAAGGCCAAATGTTCAGAACCTAAAACAAGTTTATGGAAATAGTCCCATCAAAACACATTATGGCTAGTGGAAATTGCTTCTAGGCTGAACTTTCACTGATTTTAGTGACCCTAACTATGACCACAGTCTACACAGGCTCAAAACCAAGTGTCTTTTCAGCACCACCCTTGACAAATTAGAAAACCAAATCGGGAAAGCCTTCTGGCACTTTAACTTTAGTTATAGCGGAATTTAGTGAGATCGTTCTGTATTTCATGAATTAACCTATTTTTTGTTTCAGAGTTAGATCCTTGTTAGTCTGATGTTTGTGCTACACTGGGCTGCGCTCTGTAAGCTAGGCTGCTAAGCTACATTTAGCCTACAGAGCTAGCTGCTTTTCCCTTTAAATAGCAGGATTTTTTCCAAGACTTGATAAACTAAAAATCTTTTAGAAAAATATTCAATTGTTTTTGTTTTAGTAAGAGTTTTTCTTTGGGTCTGTTTCCAATATATTTCCCCAACTATAAGTTAGGTTTAACAAAATTCAGCATTTCAGTTCAAGTTTAGTGGTTTTACAATAAAAAAAAAAAAAATTATTATAAATTTTAAACATTTAGAACCTA